CCAACATACATAAAAGTAGAAAGAAGAGCATAATGAACCTCATGAACCCACTGCCCAACTTTAACAATTACCATCATTTTGCCACCTGGGTTTCTATATTTCCTAATTGCCTCTGCAACCCCCACTAAACATTTCATCTAGCTGTTTTCTTGAGAACAGGTCTATATAAGACAGATTCCAACACTGCTACCATTGTATTCTTGCAATCGTGTCAGCCAATTCTCTTGTCTTATCAGAAATACAAAACAAAAAAGAAAAAAAAAACACTTATTTTTTTCCCTTACTTGGGCAATGACTAAAAAAGGAAGTGTCTAAATTCTACACAGTCAAGGTACTTGCCCATTATCACGTTTGGATAGTGTTGTGGCTACAAAAATGAAAGTAGACATGAGCTATCTTTACTTTTGTGTATCTGAGACAGATTTTCTGAGTGAGTTAATTTAATTCAATAAGTATTTACTGACTACCTGCTTTGAGGGACAGGATTAAGATGACAGAAGAAAACCCAGTCTCTGTTCTCAAGAAAGTCACAGGATAAGGCGTGAGTATACAGACAAAACTAAAATACAAAGCAGAATATGTTTTGTGCCCTAAGAAAGATTAAATAAATATAAGGCAAAAGTTCCTTCTAAAAATCAAGTCAGAGGCCACACTTGGTGGCTCATGCCTGTAATCCTAGCACTGTGGAAGGCAGAGATAGAAGGATCTTGAGGCCAGGAGTTCGAGACCAGTCTGGGTAAAAAAGCAAGACCCCCCCCCATCTACATAAAAAAAAAATTAGCCAGACATGGTGGTGCACGCCCATAGTCCCAGTTGAGGCAGAAGCATCACCTGAGGCCAGGAGGCTGAGGCAGAAGCATCACCTGAGGCCAGGAGGTTGAGGCTGCAGTGATTGAACCACTGCATTTCAACCTGGGTAACAGTGAAACGCTGTCCCTAGATTGTAGTTCCAGCTCCTTGGAAGGCTGAGGTGGAAGGATCGCCGGAGCCCAGCAGTTCGAGGCTGTGGTGGCCGGGAGCGGCCACTGTACTCCAGTCTGGGCGACAGAGTGAGACTCCAAGTCAAAAAAATAAAATAAAAATAAATAAATAAATAAATAAATAAAATCCGCCGGGCTCGGTGGCTCAGCCTGTAATCCCGTGCTTTGGGAGGCTGAGGTGAGTGGATTGCCTGAGCTCGCAGGTTAGAGACCTGCCTGGGCAACTTGGCGAGACCTCATCTCTACAATAAAACTTTTTAAAAAATCAGCCGGGCATGGTAGCGTGTGCCTGTAATTCCGGCTACTCGGAAGGCTGAGGCAGAAGGATCGCCGAAGCCCAGCAGGTCAAGGCTGCAGTGGCCGGGAATGGCCACTGCACTCCAGTCTGGGTGACAGAGTGAGACTCCAACTCAAAAATAAATAAATAAATAAATAAATAAATAAAATAAAATAAAATCCACCTAGAGAAGTTGTAGACCCCAGGATATACCCCTTCTTTAACTCTTGATTTGTTCTCTGTTATATTTATTGCTGTACGGCCAAGACATGCACTATAAGAGAACTGGGAATTTGGTGACCCACAGTATAGGTTTTTGGATGAGGACCTTTAATGCCACACTTTGCTAATGACCATCCAGTCTTCAGAGGGAGGAGATTAAAAGTCTTCCCCAGGCTTGGAAAACAATGGGGCTGATTCAAGGCTGGCAGTCTGACACTCAAAGCATTCTACCCTGAGGGCATATACAGCAAGCAGCTTCATAAGCAGCATAGGACACTGGGAGTGTGTCCGGAGACACAAGTTGACTGGTTCTGAAGAGTTTCCAAGGGCACTCTCCTTGCTACCTAAAGGACTGAGATCTTGGTGATCTATTATCAGATGCCCCAGAAGATCCAGTAGCTCTTTGGATAAACCAAAGAGGCCTCTAAAATGTGGTTGGACAGCAGTGAGTGAAGGAAGGAGGGCTGAGAGCAGCAGGGGGTTAGATGCACAGGAGTGGAGGATGAAAAGGGCAGAGTGGGGATGGAAGGGCGATTTACGTTGTAATATCAGTGAGACCAAAACTGGTGAGGTGAGGACCCTGAGAGAGACAAGAGGAAGGCAAGAAGGAGAAGGCACACAGGTTAGGAAGGATGGGTTCACACTGGGAGGGAAGGGGCTCATTCTGCCAAACCTAGACACAACAGGCGGTCAGTAGATGAAGGGCTAATTGATGAAGGTTTCAGGTAGCAGAATGTGGCTGAGGATGGCAAAAGTAGGGTAGAAGGAACCAGAACACTGAGACCAAAAAGACTGAAAAGAAGAAGGGCTCACAGGATGAAGGACCACTGGGCTAGAGGGTTGTAGAGTATATGAAAACTTGGATTCATATGAAAACATGGATTCCTGGAGGTAGGGACTCAGCAAGATGAGAGAATTTGGGGTAGAATGTCAGTGAGGTGGGAGACACCTTAGTGTGCATGAGATCGCAGGGTGAGGGCTAGGAGCTCCAAGAAGTCATAGAGAGGATATCTGGACAAGGGATGGAGAGGGGTATAAGACATACTTCCCCCAAATTTGAGAAAATGACAGAAGCAGGAAGGTCACTCATTCTCCAGGTCACTCTTCAGGCCTTTCTTCCCTGAAGCAGGTCACAAAACCTAGGAAGGATTGTCTGACTTTCCCCGGAGGCAGATCATAAGACTCTTCATGTGAAAGGTAGTCTCCCTACACCAAGAGGAAAGGAGCACCCTTATCTCTGAAGATTCAGGATCACAGAGAAGAATCTGAACAAACAGGTCTTGCTAAATTTTCCCCAGTTTATTATCACTGGATTATCCTTTTTGCCCTATTATACATATATTTTTTCACAACTATCCACTCTTCACCAGACTAGTATAAAAATACACAGGCTAACCATTGCTTTGGGTCTTCATTTTCTTATGTAACAAAACTTACATTAAATAAATCTGCATGCTTCCCTCTTGTTAATCTATCTTTTGTTATAGAGGAATAAGCCATAAACCTAAAAGATATTTTTCCTCCCCTATAAGGCGCAGAGGGTTTCAGGGAATACGGGGTTAAAAGTTATGAATAGGATAAAAAAGTCACCAAACCATGGGCAAAGGGTAACAGAAACACTGAGGGTCATGGACTATCTTGATGTTGGGTTTATGAATTGCCAGAAAATAAGGAACAAGGGGCCGAGGACAGCATGGAAAACCAGACAGGTTTGGGGACAATGGAGTAAGGGGTTTTGTTGTTGTTGTTGTTGTTTTACCTTGTGGGTTCAAATCCCAGCTCTGCTACTTAGCTGTGTAAGTTTTTGGTTCATTTTTTAAAACCAAACCACAAGAAAAAAAAAAGTGGGAAGGGGAAATGATGGATATAATGACCTCTTGAGGTTGTTAAGTAAACTTAACTTACATATACAAAGCTTAACACACAATAGGTGTGCAGTAAGTCAATCATCGTTAAGGCAAAATCAGGGTAAGAACCAGAGATGTGAGGCCATGACAAAGACGAGGACAGGGATCCCATGAGGTTAGTAGTAGACAGATATTGCAAGGTATGGGCCACGTGTTCACTGCTGAATCCCTAGTACCCAGGAGAAGGAGCCATAGTGACAATAGCTTATACTTATGGGTTCCCATGTGCCAGGCACAAGTGATTTACATGTGTTACCTCAGGCACTACTATTATCCTCCCTTAGCAGAGGTAGAGACTGAGGTTCAGGCCTACTAAATAGTATGCCAGAAATCTCATAGCTGAAGGGCCAGAGTCAGCCTAGAACCTAGGTTTCTTATGACATCAATGCCTCAAATTACAGCACTCTGCTATACCGCTTTGCAAACATGTTAACTGAAGGAACCTGATCAAGGAAAATGGGTATGCACTATTAGAGTGTAGGAGTTCATGAGAACGAAGGAATAAGATTCATGAAGGGGACCCCGGGGTGAAGTTACAAGGGTAATCTTCCAGGGCAGGTACAAAAATGATTGTAGAAAATTCTTGATTGAGAATTGCAGAATTTCGCAGCTGGAAGGAAACTGAGATCTAACCCAACCTCATCACAATAATATTGAGAAACTGAAGTCTTAGATCCCAAAACAGAGAAGTGGCAGAACTGGGACTTGAACCTGGGACCAAACACTCAATCCAGAGTTGTTTAATGCCTCCAAGTATTACTTCTTCATATTCATCTCTACACCTCCTCAACACCAGAAAGGTGCTGGCGGCTGGTAAGTCATGTGCTGACTGGCATGGAAGGCTAAGAGCACAGAGAGGCATGCCAGTGGAGTTGATTTTACCATGAAGGGCAAACATGGAATGAGGGTCATGGGGTTACAGGGCAAAGATGCTGAGGGTTATGTAGAAGATGAGTGGGTGGGAAATTATCAGAGTAAAACTTAGCCGTTGCCAGAAGAGTTTTGAGGGGAGTTACCAAGTTTGTGCGGGAACGCAGGGTACAAGTGGAGGGCTTCCTGGGCCAGTGGGATCACCGAAAAGGCTTGGGGGTCACTAAGGAGAAGTGTGGGGATCTTGGGTCATGTGAGTCACTGGATTAGAACTGAGGGAGTCACTGGGTTGGTGGGTCCCCGATAAGTGCTGGGAAATTCCTGGGTAAGCAGTCAAGGAGTAGTAATTGTTACCTAGTGAGGTCTTAGGGTCAGTGGGTGGGGTGCGGGGTCAGAGAAGTGGAGGTGGGCGGGCGCAGTCACAGGGTGGGGTCTGGGAGTCATGGGGGAGGAGCCGCAGGGCGGAATAGAGGGGCAGGGACCCCGGGTGGGGGAGGGGCCAGGCCGCAGTCCGGCTGCCCGGCTAGGGCCGCAAGGGGCTGGGCACGCCGGGCTCTGGACCGTCCCAGGGCGCTGCGCCCGCCCGGCCTCCCGCCCTGGGCATGGTGGACCCACTATCCCCGCAGCCACCAACCTGACAGCCCCCGAGGGCGACTCCGCCGACAGACCGCCATGCACCGGGCCCCGCCACCAGCGCCGGCCCCGTAACCCGCCTGCGCCATAGCCCGCCCGCGCGCCGCTTGCCTCGCGCGATATCCAGGTTCCAGGGCCGCCGCACTTTCCCTTCCTCTCAGCGCGCCTCTGCCGGGCCCCGGAACCCGTATAAAAAATACGGGGCACGCTCCACCCCACCCCCTTTCGCCGCGGCGGCCGTCCCACTTATCCTCGTTCCGGGGCCCGGGGAGCCCCGGCGGCCGAGATCTAAACCGAGCTCCTCCAGGCTCCGCCCTGCGCCCCGCCCCCAGCCGGGGTGACGCACGGCCCGCGAGGCCGAGCGCCCCGGGAGGGCGTGATGACGTCACGACGCCCGGGTCAGGGCCTGGGCGCCTCCGAGCTGGATCGTCGCCATAGCAACTAAGAGCTTCTCCTTGTGGGGCCCAGGGTCGGGCGCGGCGCCACGTCTGCGGCCCGCCGACTGGAAGGTACTTCAGGAGTAGCCGGGGCGTCCTGGATAGGCTGGTTGTGGGGAAGCAGTTCCCGCGGGTCCCGCTGCCGGCCCCGGGCTGCCAACTCTCTCCTCCGGGCTCAGAGCTTCCTCCCGGCTGCCCGGGCGCGCCCTCAGCGCGAACTGTGCCTTACGGTCCCGAAGCGCTTTAGTGTGTCGGCCCGTCGCGGCCTTGCCTGCTGATCCTCGAGCCGCCCCTTGAAGGAAGCAGTCGCAGGTATTAATCGCTCCTTGTCGAGGACGACGTCGAGGGGCGGTGAGGGACTCGCCTCGGGGAGGGCGTCCTGACGGTCGTCTCGGGTTCGCTTTCGTTCTCCCGCCAGGCCCCCCCCGACCTCAAAACCAGCTACTCCCCCTTAGTAGGCTTGCTTGGAGTGACCCTAAAAACCAAGCCCTTTTACTGCTTCCCCCTCCCAGGAGGGAGGGGCTACGGTGGCGGAAGTTTCCGAAGCCTCAGGGAAAATTCGTTTTGTTTTTTTTCTTTTTTGAGTCGGAGTCTCACTAATGCCCGGGCTGGAGGGCAGTGGCCGCTCCCGGCCACCGCAGCCTCGACCTGCTGGACTCCGGCGATCCTTCCGCCTCAGCCTTCCGAGTAGCTGGAACTACAGACGCGTGCTACAACGCCCGGCTAATTTTTTGGATTTATTGTAGAGACGAGGTCTCACCAAGTTGCCCGGGCTGGTCTCGAACCCGCGGGCTCAGGCAATCCTCTTGCCTCGACCTCCCAAGGTGTTGGGATTACAGGCGTGAGCCATGAGCCTGGCCTGAGGGAAAATTAAAAAGGGAATGAGCATTGGGTTAAAAGTTAAATAAAAAGAGAAAGGAGTTACCTAAGGAGCTGGCAAAGATTGCCTCTTAGGGAAACTTAATAAAAATAATTGTAAAAGGAAGTAAACTAGAAACATTTACAAAGTTGTGGGTTTGGGGCCAGTGGTAGCTAAAGATGTCCTTGGGGACACAGATGTGCTTTCCCTCTTCTTTCCTTTCTAAAGAGTTCCCTTTCTAAAGAGCTCAATCTTAGACATACCCTTCCGCATCTCATTTGTTTGGGCACAGCGTTTCCAGAGGCAGGACGGGGACCAGAGTTCTCGTATGGTTCTCAGTTTAGGAAGACAGTGAGTGACAATTGATGGCCCATCCCTATAGTTAGTGATTAATCCTTTATATGCCTCCTAATAGAGAAATAAACTGTGTGACCACTATGGTGCCCTCTTGTTACTTTTTGGTAGAAGTTTGACAAATTATTTCCTATATAAATACCTAATAGACACAGAGAGGACTAAATAGCTTGGCTTATAGTATGCACTGCCAGTTGGAAATACAGCAAAGGACAGAACTCAGGATGTACCTCAGTGTGTCCCCCCTCAACCACCCTTTTTCCGTAGTAAAAAATACATTTGTCTTTTCTCACATTCCCTGCTGATTCTAATCTGATGACCAGTCACTTCTGCCATTATACATTTAACAAGCTCTGGGAAAACTGACTGAATCTGAAGTAATGATTCTAATGACAAGTAGTTTCAGGTCCTCAGGAGAATTGGTGAGGAGAATATTTTGGAGTGGAGTACAGAAGATCTTTTCTAGCAGTTACTGTCCTATCCCTTCACCCCAACATGCATAGGCTAGTGGTCTTCAGATGTTTAAAAAACTTAATCCTGGCCAGGCTCAGTGGCTCAGCCTGTAATCCCAGCGCTTTGGGAGGCCGAGGTGAGTGGACTGCCTGAGCCCACAGGTTCGAGACCTGCTTGGGCAACTTGGCAAGACCTCATCTCTAAAATAAATCAAAAATTAGCCCGGTGTGGTAGCACGTGCTTGTAGTTCCAGCTACTCGGAAGGCTGAGGCGGAAGGATCACCAGAGCCCAGCAGGTTGAGGCTGCAGTGGCCGGGAGCAGCCACTGTACTCCAGTCTGGGTGACAGAGTGAGACTCCAACTCAAAAAAATAAAAATAAAAAATAAAAAACTTGATCCCATACAAGCATTTTGAAGAGCTATGTACCCCTTGTTCATTTTTATGCTGGTACCTACATTTTTCTGAATTAATTTAATTACTTGTAGAGGATATAATTTCAGACTTATTGCAAATTTTGACTTCTTAAACTAAAACTTGCAACATTCTTTTTTTTTTGAGTCGGAGTCTCACTGTCATCCAGGCTAGAGTGCAGCGGCACACTCACGGCCACCACAGCCTTGACCTACTGGGCTCAGGTGATCCTTGCACCTCAACCTTCCAAGTAGCCGGAACCACAGGCAAGCACCACCATGCTTGGCTAATTTTTTGATTTATTGTAGAGACGAAGTCTCACCATGTTACCCAGGCTGGTCTCGAACCCCTGGACTCAGGTAGTCCTCTTACTGCTGCCTCCCAAAGTGCTGGGATTATAGGCATGAACCACCACACCTGGCTACATCATTCTTTTTTTTTTTTGAGTTGGAGTCTCACTCCGTCACCCAGGCTGGAGTGCAGTGGCAAACTCATGGCCACCCCAGCGTCACAGGCTCCAGTGATCCTTCCGACTCAGCCTTCCAAGTAGCCAGAACTATAGGCATACACCACCACACCCGGCTAATTTTTAATTTATTGTAGAGATGAGGTCTCGCCAAGTTGCCCAGGCGGGTCTCGATCCTGCGGGCTCAGGCAATCCACCTGTATCATTCTTTTTTTTTTGAGTTGTTGGAGTCTCCCTCTGTTGCCCAGACTAGAGTGCAGTGGCCGCTCCCAGCCACTGCAGCCTCGACCTGCTGGGATCCGGTGATCCTTCCGCCTCAGCCTTCCAAGTAGCCGGAATTATAGGCATGCGCTACCACGCCCGGCTGATTTTTTGCTTTATTGCAGAGATGAGGTCTTGCTGCCCAGGCGGGTCTCGAACCCGCGGGCTCAGGCAATTCACTCACCTCAGCCTTCCAAAGGCGCGGGATTACAGGCTGAGCCACCGAGCCTGGCTCACCTGTATCATTCTTAATGTATCCAGTGGACTCCAAGTACCCGAAAAATCTGATGCCCACCATCATCCACTTAAAAATATATGAAGAAGCTCTTTAACAGAAATTTTATATGGTTCTCTTTCTTCTTGCACTTCTAACTCCTTTCACTTCCTGTACTAGTACACAATTTACTAAACACATAAATATATTTCACAATTTTTTGTTTTGAGTTGGAGTCTCATTCTGTTGCCCAGGCTTGAGTTCAGTGGCACACTCACGGCCACCCCAGTGCCAACCCATTAGACTCAGAAGATCCTTCCTTCTCAGCCTTCCAAATAGCTGGAACCCAGGCTGCGCTACCATGCCTGACTAATTTTTTGATTTATTGTAGAGACAAGGTCTCATCATGTTCCCAGGCTGATCTCGAACCTGTGGACTCAGACAATCCTCTCACCTCTGTCTTCCAGTGTGGAATTACAGGCGTGAGCCACCCCTCAGCATATATAACATTTTTATAACTTGTGAAATGTAAAGAGTATAATTTTTATAGGAAATTTATCTCTTAATGAGAAATATGGTGTTTCTTGCTGATTAGTTCAGGTATTCATGGATGAATATTATCTAATGGTAGAAGGAGATAAGATAATATCAGTTATTTATCTATTTTTTATTTTTATAGACATAAACATTAAGAAACTTTGTTCACATAATTGGGAAAGGACAAAATTTGTTACAGTGATATTCCTTGAGTCTTTGTGGTTTGTTTTTTTTTTTTTTGAGTTGGAGTCTTACTCTGTCATCCAGACTGGAGTGCAGTGGCACGCTCCTGGCCACCACAGCCTCAACCTGCTGGGCTTCGGCAATCCTTCTGCCTCAGTCATCTAAGTAGCCGGAACTATAGGTGAGCACTACCACGCCCGGCTAATTTATTGTAGAGACGAGATCTCATCAAGTTGCCCAGGAGGGTCTCGAACCCACGGACTCAGGCAATGCACTCGCCTCAGCCTCCCAAAGTGCTGGGATTACAAAGTGCTGAGCCACCGAGCCCAGCCTCCTTGAGTCTTCGAACTTCTAAATTATATGCCAGGAATCACAAGGTGATTTATTATATAATGCTATTGAATAGAGTTTTCCTTTAATTTTATTAAAAGCAAAGAATTAGAAACCACAACTTGCGAAAGGATTTATCTAGTTATTAGAGTTTTAGTTCCAGCTTTATTAAAAATGATTATCTGTGACCTTTTCACTGAAACACCTTCTTAATCAGATACTGACTTTTTTTTTTTAGATTGGAAAATATAGTTTATTTAACAAATAAATTAGAGAGAGACAGAAGATTCACCTCCCCAAGGTAGGGAAGGGAGTCAAAAAAGCCAGGTAACATGGCAGTGGCCCTAGCTCAAAGAGTACATAGCCACACCAGTGTCTAGGAAGGCAATGGCAAGATGCCGACTTCTGTACTCTCTTGCCAACACAATATTTTTTTTTTTTTTTGAGTTGGAGTCTCTCTCCGTCGCCCAGACTGGAGTGCAGTGGCCGCTCCCGGCCACCGCAGCCTCGACCCGCTGGGCTCCGGTGATCCTTCCGCCTCAGCCTTCCAAGTAGCCAGAATTATAGGCGCATGCTACCACGC